GCCGAGGCGCTCCGAGGGCGGCAGAGTCCGGGGGATTCCCCGTGCGCACGGCCGTCTGTTTGCAGCACCCCTTGGCTGACACTTGGCTTCGCACCCTGAAGACCTAGAGGTTTTGCAGCGCTAATTTCTCCGGAGGCAGCGTATGATGCTCGCGAGGGCCAGTACGCCGTCCTTTGCCTGCGTTTGCCCTCGGGGCGCCTGCAGCAATGAGCTCCAGGGATTAAATACCCTCCTGGTGAACCGGCTTTCTGTTTTAAAGCCTCGGCATTTCCTACCGCTGCATCTCACTTGGCATCGCTCCACTTTTGTGTGCTGCAAGAGGGCAAACAGGGAACAGCATGTTTTCTCGCGCTGTACTTTCTACAGCTCCGTGTTCATCTTTTATTTATCTTCCCCTAAGGTAAATATTTCCAACCAGGTCTCACACAAAAGCCTCCCGTGACATGGCACTTGTTAACGGCCTGCCTAAATTCATCCTCTGCTTTCCGGGGGAGGCAGCCCAGCGCTGAAGACAACGCGGCGAGACACTGAGCTACAGAGAGCCAGCCTCTGGGTGCCAGCCCGGGCGGGCTCGCACGCACTAACGGTTTTGGTTTTGGTTTTGGCAACGCTGGACGTCCTGCCGCGATTCCCACTGCGACCAGCTCTTGCATTAAGCCTGTCAGCTGCACTGAAGCGAGCTTCCAGCTCGGCACGCGCGCAGGCACGGAAAACGGAGGCCCCCGAGTTCACTTAGTGCCAATTCAATGAGCTCGTTTATTTGGAAGTTGCCCTATCGCCCGGAAAGCTGGAACGACCTTATCTTTAGGGTAAAGTTGAAAACAAACGGTGTGATGTTTTGGTTCGATTATAACAGTTGGGTCACTTGCTAGAACTGTTTTCGTTTGGTAACCAAGCAGAAGGGTAAGTTATAATAACAATATAACCATGGTGATAAAATAAATGATGAGGTAAGCTTGCTGTAAATGTAAACGAGTGATGTGGGCAAGCAGTGAGCTCAGGCGCCTAGCGAGTTAACCGTGGAGGAGTACGAAGAGCTTAGAAAATAGCTCAAAAAAAAGAAAGATCTGAAAGGACGCGTGGAGCCCAGCTCCGGGGTCTTGGGGGCGCAAGGGTCCTGCCAGCACGCTGGGGACCGGCGCTCCCTCCCCGAAGGCCAGACGGACCAGCCAAGCCGGAGAGCCCCATTTCTACCCGTATGGGAAGCTTTCGTTTAGGGGCACGCAGAGGCCGTCGCTGCTGCAGGCCGAACCCCAGCAGCGGCAG